AAGAATTAGCTCAAGCAGAAGCTCCTCGGTTGTCAGAAGTTGCCAGGTTGAGCGGTGGGAGGGAATCGAGGAGGAGGAGGGTGGCCCAGAAAATTCCCCCAAAACCCAAAAACCGTCCCAAAAAATCTACCCAAAAAAACCCAACCAGCCCAAAAAATCCCAAAAGTCCCAAAGATGTAGGTGGCCGATGCGAAAGCTGCGGAAGGGACGGGGACAGGGGGAGGGGGGATGGTTGGGGGGGGGGGGGAGTCAAACACGTTGCTCGCTCGCTCCTATCTCCGGCTCAAGCTCCGCGCTTCAACTCCGCGCTCAGGCACCGTGCTCCTGCACCGCGCTCGCCCCGGCCTCTCTGCTCTGCACCACAGACGACAGACAAAAAACGTTAGATACTTCGGAAAACAAAAACGAGTACAGTGAAAGCGACGACACCTTACAAGGACAGGGCCGCTAGTGATGCCGTCAGCTACCGTTGACGTCGGCGTAGACGTTGCCAGGTTGACCAGCGGGAGGGAATCAAGGAGGAGAGCGGCCCGGCGAAATGACGCGTGTTGGCGGAAATCTGGGTTCTTCTAATTTTATCGACACAAATTAACGCGATCTCTCCACGACGGCGTATCTCTGAATTTGATGGACCTTGTTTCCGCGCGTCCTATCCGAGCGATTTTCCTCCCTTCTTCTCCGAATTTCGGGCAGCCGATGGGAATTTGCGTGAAACCACAAACAGTCATGAATACAATGTTTTACGGTACATTCAAAATATCGCCGCGCGTAACGATATTTTCAAGGTACCGTAAAACAATGTCATCGTGACTGTTTGTGATAGTACGCAAATTCCCAAGGGTTGCCCGAAATCTGGAAAGGAAGGGCGGGAAAATCGCGCGGAAAGGGCGAGCGCAAACGCCGTCCATCGAAGTCAGAGAAAAGCCGACGTGGCGAGGTCGCGATAATTTGAGTCGATGAAATTGACAGAAACAAAACTTTCGCCGACGCGTGTCATTTCGCCACCGCGCTCGCTCCAGCCTCTCTGCACCACATACGACGACAAAAATCGTCAGATATTTCGGAAAACAAAAACGAGGAGTAAAAGCGACGACACCATTACCATGACCGCGCTGCTGATGACGTTGACGTCGGCGTAGACGTTGACGTTGACGCCGGAAGGGTCAGTGGGAAGCGAGAGGGGGCGGCGGAAGAGGGTACACCTAACCACCGCTATTTTCAACTCCGAACCCTTGCACTGTTCCCGCGTTTCGAAGATACCCTGCACGCATTCGACTAATTCAGTTGGGCACTTGGGGAACTTGGGCTACGAAGCACCCCGATTTTCAATGTTAAGAAACGCATGAAAGCAAATCTGAGAAGGGGCGCTTTTGCTGTTGCGAATTCCCTTGTGCCACCTCTACTCTTTTTGGGTGCCTGGAACCAACCCACTGTGAAATCAGTGTGAAAATTCCGACTCCCACACAACCCTCGCTCAAAGATTCTAGAAAGGGTGCATACCCACTTGCACAAGTGGGGATGAAAATAGACGGAAAGAAAATAGCGGTGGTTAGGTGTATCCAGGCGGGGGCTGCCCTTCACCACCCTCTCCGCCACCCCCTGCCCCCCTCGCTCCCACAACCCCGCCGGTTCTTCCCCGAAAGCCTCTGACAGCTGAAGCACAGGGCGAAGCAACGGCATCACGGTACCACGGCGGAGAGAATCTCAAAACTGGAAAGCGACGACGAGAAATGGAAGCGACGAGAGAAGCGCCGGGAGAATCGCCGGGAGAATTGCCGGGAGAAGCGCCGGGAAGCAACGCGTCATGCGTCCGCATGCGCCGTGCGCCATTCTCCGTGCGCCATCCGCCGTTGGCCATCGCCGTGCGCCGTGCGCCTGAAGAATCGCCACGCGACGCGCCATGATACACCCGCGTATGCCAACGCGCCATATGCGCACCCCGTGTGACGCGCCATCGTAGCCGTGCGTCGCCGTCCGCCGTTCTGCAGGAAGCGAGGAACGCCGTTAGAATAAATTCGTTAAAAACTACGAGTAGAATGAAAACGAGGAAACAAGAAACCAAAGCGAGTGAGGAAACAACCCGAGCGAGGAGCTGCCGTCGGAGAATCCGGTGAAGGAGCATCCGCTTGCGACGTGAGACTCGCCGTCGCCGTCCGCCGCTTGCGAAAGCATGATGCCTTTCGTGCCTCCATGCGTCGCCATGTGCCTGCATGAAATCAGTAAAAATAATATCCGTTAAAAAACCGCCAAGAGGAAGGAACAACAGAATGAAATTAAACGAAACGGTCAACTTTCGAGAGACACGTTACCTCAGCCCACGTGTGTCGGCGCCGCTGGTGAGCCATCAGCCGTCAGCGAACGAAAGGCCCATCAGCCGTCGCCGTTCGTTTGCGACGCGAGCCATGTCGTCGCCGTCCGCTTGCGACGCGAGACACGCCTGTCGTCAACGCCGCCGTCAACGTCAACGTCCGCCGTCATTTGTCGTCAACGTCTGCGCGGCCGGAGAAAGAGGTCGGCGAGGTCTGCAGGAAGACAAGGACACACGTTAGTACTAGTATTGGGAAAAAAACATGAATAAAGGATATAGAACAGAAAGATCTATTGGCGAAATGCTCTTGAAAGTCAACTCACCTCGCTATCATCGGCGCTTTCATGTCCACCGGCGAGTGCGACCGTGAGGCATCCTCTCACAGGCGAAAGCTCCGCAGGCGGCGAACTTGGCAGCGAAAGCTCCGCAATCACGACGGGGAAAGCACCAGTCGGCGGCGATTGTTCCGCGATTACGACGGGGAAAGCACCAGTCGGCGGCGATTGTTCCGCGATTACGGCGGCGATTGTTCCGCGATCACGACGGGGAATGCTCCAGTCGGCGGCGATCGTTCCGCGATTACGACGGGGAAAGCTCCAGTCGGCGGCGATTGTTCCGCGAAAACGATGGGGAAAGCTCCAGTCGGCGGCGATTGTTCCGCGATTACGACGGGGAAAGCACCAGTCGGCGGCGATTGTTCCGCAATTACGATGGGGAAAGCTCCAGCCGGAGTTCTTGAATTAGGCTTCAAGGAAACTTGACTTGCATGCTCCAATCGGCGGCGAAAGCTCCAGTTGTCTGCAGGAAAACGAGGATGGAGTTAGAGCCACCTCAAACGGAAAAATCAAGTATGAAGCGGATCGATTCAGAGCATAACGGGCGAAAAACGGTTCATGAACGAAATAAAAAAACAACTGCTTACCTCCACTCGAGCGACGATAAAGGTTGCGCCAGCAGCCACTCGAGCCATCGGAGCGCCATCGGAGCGCCATCGGAGCGCCTTCATAGACTTCCAGGTCTTCGGGAGCAAGGAGAACACCTTCGAAGACTTCGAGGGAACTTCGGCGTAGCAGGGAACTCCGGCGTTAAGACTTTGCCGCGTAGAAACTCCGGCCATTGAAGCTCGTGCAGCAACTCTTGCAATTTTCCATCCACTCTGTATCGAGCCAGCCGCCCTCCTCCCTCCACCTTCTCCCCCTGCTCCTTGATCCGCTGCCATACCTGCTGACCCGCCTCCTTGAGAGTTATGCTGTCACGCTACAGGAAAAGTAGAGGGAGGGGGTATACGGATGACGGATGGATAGATCATAGGGCAGATGGATGGATGGATGATGGATGGATGGATGATGGATGGATGCACAGAGAGTGATGATGGATGAATGATGGATGATTGATGGATGGATGGATGATGGATGGGTGCACATAGAGAGTGATGATGGATGAAATGTACGGCATGCATCCACGTCAAACTCCTTATGAGGTGCCTCAAAAAAGCATACTGTTGCAGCGCCTAAAGATAACATAGAGAGTGATGATGGATGAAATGTACGGCATGCATCCACGTCAAACTCCTTATGAGGTGCCTCAAAAAAGCATACTGTTGCAGCGCCTAAAGATAACATAGAGAGTGATGATGGATGAAATGTATGGCATGCATCCACGTCAAACCTACTAACTCCATTCCTTCCCCTCGGGTCCTCTGTCCTCACCTCAAGTCTTTTGAGGCGCCTCAAAAGGTGTATTTTGAGGCGCCAATTAACTCCATTCCTTCCCCTCGGGTCCTCCGTCCTCACCTCAAGTCTTTTGAGGCGCCTCAAAAGGTGTATTTTGAGGCGCCAATTAACTCCATTCCTTCCCCTCGGGTCCTCCGTCCTCACCTCAAGTCTTTTGAGGCGCCTCAAAAGGTGTATTTTGAGGCGCCAATTAACTCCATTCCTTCCCCTCGGGTCCTCCGTCCTCACCTCAAGTCTTTTGAGGCGCCTCAAAAGGTGTATTTTGAGGCGCCAATTAACTCCATTCCTTCCCCTCGGGTCCTCCGTCCTCACCTCAAGTCTTTTGAGGCGCCTCAAAAGGTGTATTTTGAGGCGCCAATTAACTCCATTCCTTCCCCTCGGGTCCTCCGTCCTCACCTCAAGTCCCAAAAACTGCTTGAGCATTGGGGATGGTTCTCTAGCAGGGGCCTCTCCTTTCCCTGAGCTACTACCAGCCTCGTTTCCATCACCTCCTACCCAACCTAATTGGTTGAATGGATCAATCCCCAAACCCCTGTGCCCTCACCTCAAGTGCCAGAAACTGCTTGAGCATCGGGGATGGTTGTCTAGCAGGGGCCTCTCCTTTCCCTGAGCTACTACCAGCCTCGTTTCCATCACCTCCTGCTGTGGCCTTCACTGTTGCTCCTTTTTGTTTTGCTGCTCGACCTGCTCCCACTGCTCCTGCTGCTCCCGCTGCTTCTGCTGCCCCTGTTCCTGCCCCTGCTACTCTTGCTGTTTTTTTTGCTGCTCCTCCTCCTTTTCCTGCTGAGTCCTGCCCTGCTTCGTCCTGCTTAGACCTGTCCCCCTCACTATCAACAATCTGCATATGCTGCGATACAAGCTTCTGGAGGCCAAAGAAATGAGCCTCATCAACCCCAAAGAGGGTTCTCAGCTTGTCATCAAAGGCTGCTGAGTTGGGTCCAGCCTGAAGGTTGTTGGCTTTAATGTAGTTCCACACAAGGGTCGTTGCTTCGAGGATGCTCAGCTGCTCGTGCTGTGAGATGGGGAATGGAGGGAGGGAGGGAGGGAGGGAGGGAGGGAGGGAGGGAGGGAGGGAGGGAGGGAGGGAGGGAGGGAGGGAGGGAGGGAGGGAGGGAGGGAGGGAGGGAGGGAGGGGGGGGGGGGGGAAGGGAGGGAGGGAGGGAGGGAGGGAGGGAGGGAGGGAGGGAGGGAGGAAGGGAGGGAGGGAGGGAGGGAGGGAGGGAGGGAGGGAGGGAGGGAGGGAGGGAGGGAGTGAGGGAGGGAGTGAGGCAAGTAGCACAGGGAAGCCTCAGCTTGCCGTCAAACGCTGCTGAGTTGGGCCCGGCTTGAAGGTTGCTGGCCTTGACGTAGTTTTACACGAGGCTCGTTGCTTCAAGGATGCTCAGGTGCTCGCGCTGTAGGAGGGGGGGTCTGGAGAGGAGGGGAGGGGAGAGGGGGAAAAGAAATGGGGAGAACTCCAGTTGCTCCCTTGCGTCCTTGAAATTCCTAGAATTTGGTACCAACCATGTTCAACCGATCTCAAACGATCTCAACCGTTCCCAACCATTCTCCACCCAAACTGCTCTCACTCACCTTCCCAATGATCTCTTTCAGTTGCTCGGATGGCCGTCTAGGAAGCGGCCTTCCCAGAAGCCTGTCTGAGAAGGCCGGGTCAGACGCACCAGCTCAGTTGCTTTGCTGCTCGACCTACTCCCGCTGCTCCTGCTGCTCCCGCTGCTTCTGCTGCCCCTGCTCCCGTCTAGGAAGCGGCCTTCCCAGAAGCCCGTCTGAGAAGGCCGGGTCAGACGCACCAGCTCAGTTGCTTCCTCGCCTGATGAAGGTTTTCTTACCAATTCCTATATTCCATACCAACCATTTTCAACTGCTTTGAATCGTTCTTATCTCCTTCAGTTGCTCAGACAACCTTCTGGGAAGCTGCTTCCGCTGTGCAAGCTCCTTAATCAACCCTCCTCAACCGTTTTCAACCTAATTAAAATTCACTCACCTCCTTCCCGATGATCTCCTTCAGTTGCGCAGACGGCCTTCTGGGAAGCTGCTTCAGACGAATAAGCTCCGATCCTCCCTTGCTTGCTCTGACATAATTGCTCTGTTTCCCTACTTTAGCAGTTTCCTTGCCCAGTTTAGAAGCTTCGTTTTCCACTTGAGAAGCTTCCTTCCCCACTTGAGAAGCACCACTTGAGCAGCTTCCTTCCCCGCTTCAGAAGCTTCCTTTCCCACTTTGGAAGCTTTCTTCCCCACATGAGAAACTTTCCTCCCCGCTTCAGCAACTTCCTGCATGTGTGGTAGCAGCAGCCCCGGCACTTTCGTGGAATGTGCCCCGTCAACCCCAAAGGGAGCCCCATCAAGGCTTTCAGAAATCAGAGCACCGTCAGAACTCTCAACTTCCTTCATGTGCGGCAGCAGCAGTCCCGGCACTTTAGTGGAATGCGCCGAGTCAACCCCAAAGAGCGCCCTCAGCTTGTCGTCAAAGGCTGCTGTGCGGCTTCCGGTCTTGAGGTTGTGTGCTTTCACATAGTCCCACACTAGCCGTGTTGCTTCGAATATGCTCAGCTGCTCGTGCTGTGGGAAGGGGGGGGGTGGGAAGGGAGGCCAGTAGAACAGGGAGGGGAAGGGACTGGTCTTGAGGTTGTGTGCTTTCACATGGTCCCACACTAGCCGTGTTGCTTCGAATATGCTCAGCTGCTCGTGCTGTGGGATGGGGGGGGGTGGGGAGAGGGGAGTGGGGAGGGGAGGGGGTGGGGAGGGGAGAGGGGAGTGGGGAGGGGAGGAGGTGGGGAGGGGAGAGGGGAGTGGGGAGGGGAGGGGGTGGGGAGGGGAGAGGGGAGTGGGGAGGGGAGGGGGTGGGGAGGAGAGAGAGGACATGAGGCAAGTTGCACAGGGAGGGGATGAGAGGCAAGTCAGCCCTCCTCTACCATTCTCAACCGTTTTCAACCCAGATCAATCTCACTCACCTCCTTCCCAATGATCTCCTGTAGCTGTTCCAATGGCCTCCTGGGAAGGCGGTTCTGCTGGGGAAGCCATTCTCAACCACACTCTACCGTTCTCAACCCAACTCAATCTCACTCACCTCCTTCCCAATGATCTCTTGTAGTTGTTCCAATGGCCTCCTGGGAAGGCGGTTCTGCTGGGGAAGCCATTCTCAACCACACTCTACCGTTCTCAACCCAACTCAATCTCTCTCACCTCCTTCCCAATGATCTCTTGTAGCTGTTCCAATGGCCTCCTGGGAAGGCGGTTCCGCCGTGCAAGCTCTGCTCCTCCTTGGCTTCCATCCCTGGCTTCCTTGTTGCACTGCTCCTACTCACCAACCAACCCATCTCAACCACTCTCAACCGTTCTCAACGCACGCTCACCTCCTTCCCAACGATCTCATTTAGCTGTTCCGACGGCCTTCTGGAAAGCAGGTTCCGCAGTGCAGCTCCATTATCAACCCTCTTCAACCGATTTCAACCCGAATCAATCCCTCTTACCTCCTTCCCAACGATCTCCTTTAGCTGTTCCGATGGCCTTCTGGAAAGCAGGTTCCGCCGTGCAGCTCCGCTCCTCCTTTGTGCCTTCCGGTTCTCGACCGCTCTTAACCGCTCTTGACCGTTATCTATCCAAATTAATCTCACTCACCTCTTTCCCAATAACCTCGTTTAGCTGTTCCGATGGCCTTCTAGGAAGCAGGTTCCTCCGTGCAAGCTCTGCTCCTCCTTTACGCCCTCTGGTTCGCGACCATTCTCACCTCCTCCCCAACCCTTCTCAACCGTTCTCAGCCCACACTACAAACTCTCTCACCTCTTTCCCAATAATCTCCTTCATCTGTTCCGATGGCCTTCTGGGAAGCCGGTTCCTCCGTGCAATCTCTCAACCACTCTCAACCGTTCTCAACCCGCACTCACCTCCTTCCCAATGATCTCCTTCAGCTGTTCCGATGGCCTTCTGGGAAGCCGGTTCCTCCGTGCAATCTCTGCTCCTCCAAGGCTTGCCAGAACTTTCATGCGCTGCTGCTCCAGCCGAAGCTTAACCTCTTGAGCTGTCTCCCCCTTCCCCCTCTCCCCTCCTCAGTATCCCCTCGCTCCTGGTCCTCCTCCCCTCCTTCCCTGGCCGCTTTTCCCTCCTTTCCAGCCTCTTCTCCAGCCTCCACATCTGTTGTCACCTTGCTCCTCCCAACTGCCTTGCTTTCTTGCTTTCTAGGCCCTTTCAGCTTGCTTGTTTCTTGACCACGCTCCTTCCCTCCTTCCCTGGCCGATTCTCCCTCCTTTCCAGATCCCTCTTCAGCCTGAGCAACTTCCTTTCCCACTTCAGAAGCTTCCTTCCCCGCTTCAGCAACTTCCTGCATGTGCGGCAGCAGCAGCCCTGGCACTTTGGTGGAATGCGCCTCGTCAACTCCAAAGAGCTCCCTTAGCCTCTCGTCAAACGCTGCTGTGTTTTTTCCGGTCTTGAGATTATTGGCTTTCACATAGTCCCACACTAGCCGTGCTGCTTCGAATATGCTCAGTTGCTCGTGCTGTGGGATGGGGGAGAGTATTAGGAAGGAAGGGGAGTGGAGGAGAGGTAAGTGAGGAGTTTTTTACCTCAGCTTGCTGTTAGGAATCCTGAGAAATTGCTTCTCTCACGACCATGTTTCAGCACTATTCTCAACCGTTCTTAACTGCTCTCAACAATTTTCAACCGCTCTTAATCCACACCACACAGACCTGCTTCCCGATTAGCCCCTTCAGCTATTCCCAACTGTTAGTTAATCCACACTCGCCTCCGTCTGCAAAGCCGCTAAGAACATGCAATATCTGCTCCTCTTGAGTCGACTTTTGAGTCAATTAAAAAGAAAACCGCTAAGAACATGCAAGCTCTGCTCCTCTTGAGTCGACTCAAAAGCGAACATGCAATCTCTGCTCCTCTTGAGTCGACTTTCGAGTCGACTTTTGAGTCGACTCAAAAGAAAGTCGTTATGAACGTGCAAGCTCTGCTCCTCTTGAGTCGACTCAAAAGCGAACGTGCAAGCTCTGCTCCTCTTGAGTCGACTCAAAAGCGAACGTGCAAGCTCTGCTCCTCTTGAGTCGACGCAAAAGCGAACATTTTGAGTCGACTCAAAAGCGAACGTTTTGAGTCGACTCAAAGCTCTGCTCCTCCTCCATGCGTCCTCTCAATCGCTAGATTTGTTCCACTGCTCCTGCTCAACCGTTTCGAGCCGTTCTCAACCCCCACTCACCCACTCACCTCCTTCCCAATTATGTCCTTCAGCTGTTCCGACGGCCTTCTAGGAAGCCGGTTCCGCTGGGGAAGCCATTCTTGACCACACTCTACTGTTCTCAACCCCCCGCTCACCTCCTTTCCAATGATCTACTTCAGCTGTTCCGACGGCCTTCTAAAAAGCCGGTTCTGACGAGCAAGCTCCATTATCAACCCTCTTCAACCGTTCTCAACCGATTTCAACCCGAATCAATCCCTCTTACCTCCTTCCCAATGATCTCCTTTAGCTGTTCCGACGGCCTTCTAAAAAGCCGGTTCCGCTGTGCTGTAAGGTTCTGCTTTAGTGAAAGGGTTTTACGAGTTCTACTGAGCAATTTTCCAGGAAGTTTTTTTTCTAAGTTTCGATCCTGTTGCTTTAAGCGTTTTCCAATCTTCAGAGTTGCAGCTCTTCCGCTATGAGTGAAGTTCCTCCATGCAACCTCCGCTCCTCCCTTGCTTCCTCTCGATCCCTCAATTCATTGTTCCACTGCTCCCACTCACCATTCCCAACCGTTCTGATATGTTCACAACCCATGCTTACCTCCTTCCCAATAATATCCTTTAGCTGTTCCGACGGCCTTCTGGGAAGCCGGTTCCGACGAGCAAGCTCCATAATCAACCCTCCTCAACCGTTCTCAACCGTTCTCAACCGATTTCAACCCAGATCAATCCCTCTTACCTCCTTCCCAATGATGTCCTTCAGCTGGTCCGACGGCCTTCTAGGAAGCCGGTTCCGCTGGGGAAGCCATTATCGACCACACTCTACTGTTCTCAACCCCCCGCTCACCTCCTTTCCAATGATCTACTTCAGCTGTTCCGACGGCCTTCTAAAAAGCCGGTTCTGACGAGCAAGCTCCATTATCAACCCTCTTCAACCGTTCTCAACCGATTTCAACCCGAATCAATCCCTCTTACCTCCTTCCCAATGATCTCCTTCAGCTGTTCCGACGGCCTTCTAGGAAGCCGGTTCCGCCGTGCAACCTCTGCTCCTCCCTTGCTTCCTCTCCGTTCCTGCTGCTCCTCACGTGTAAACTCTTGAGCCGTTCCCCCCCTCCCCTCCCTCTCCTCCGCCTCCTTGCCCCTTTTCACTCTCACTGCCTTCCCTCCTGTCCCTGCGCCACCAGCTCCCATCCCTTCCCCTTTCACCTGTTCCTGCTGCAACTGCTCTCCCTTCTTGTCCTTCCCTGCATTCTTGCTCGCCTTTTTACCCGCCTCTTTGCTTGCTCTTTTTCTCGCCTCTTTGGTCGCCTCTTTCTCTCCCCCTTTCCCAGCCTCTGTGCTTGTTTCTGCTGAGCCCGCCTTGCTCCCCTTGCCCGTCTTTGCAGCCTTGGCAGCCTTCTTTGCAGCGGCCCTCTCTGCCCGTGCCTGCTTCACCTGTAAGCGCTCGATGGCGCTCTCTAGAGTCACATCGTCTATACTCACGTTCTGGTGAGGGTGGCAGGGAGGAAGAGAGGGAGGGAAGGAAGGAGAGAAGGGAAGAAGGGGGGAAAAGGGCGGAAAGAAAGAAGAGAGAGAGAAGGGGATGGGAAGAAGGGAAGGAGGGAGCTTGAGTGTGTGAGGGTATGGAGTGGTCTCAGCAGCCTGTCTTTGCAGCCTTAGCAGCCTTCTTTGCAGCTGCCCTCTCTGCCCGTGCCTGCTTCACCTGTAAACGCTCGATTGCGCTCTCTAGAGTCACATCGTCGATACTCACGTTCTGGTGACGAAGGGAGGGAGGGAGGGAGGGAAGAAAAACGGGAGATGAGAGGTTGGGTGTGAGGGTATAGATTGATCTCAGCATCCCTTCCTCCTCGCAGCAGCTTTTGAGTCGACTCAAAAGTCACCTCGTTTTGAGTCGACTAAAAAAACGGGAGAAGAGAGATTGGGAGTGAGGGTATAGAATAGAGTGATCTCAGCATAAAAGCCAAAGGGACCATTGCAGAGCAGCACAGTACATGGTAAACGCTGTTACAGCAAGCAAGTCTCTCTCTCACCGTGCCCAGAGATGCTCTGATGAGCCCGATGCTGGGGTGATCATGCTCCACATAGAAGCAAAAGGAGCCATCATGGAATCACAGTACATGGTAAGTAACTCTTTCTCTCACCGTGCCCAATGATGCTCTGATGAGCCCGATGTTGGGGTGATCATGCTCCACATAGAAGCAAAAGGAGCCATCATGGAATCACAGTACATGGTAAGTAACTCTTTCTCTCACCGTGCCCAATGTTGCTCTGATGAGTCGATTTTTGACTCGACTAAATAATCGACTCATCACACGCCGATTCCGGGGTGATCATGCTCCACATAGAAGCAAAAGGAGCCATCATGGAATCACAGTACATGGTAAGTAACTATTTCTCTCACCGTGCCTAATGAAGCTCTGATGAGCCCGATTCCGGGGTAATCATGCTCTACACAGAAGCCAAAGGTACCGTTGCAGAGCAGAACAGTACAAGGTAAACGCTGTTACAGCAAGCAGGTCTCTCTCTCACCGTGCCTAATGAAGCTCTGATGAGCCCGATTCCGGGGTAATCATGCTCCACGTAAAAGCCAAAGGGACCGTTGCAGAGAAGCACGGTTCCCCCCTCTGGGTGTGGCCCCTGTGTATGTGAATGTGCAGGAAAGAAGGAGAGAGGGTAAAAGCACACGTTGAGTGGGATGAGAAAGAAGCGATTTAGAGAGTAAGAAGGCAAGAAGTTCACGTTGGCCTGAGGGAGGGCAAGGAGAAGTTTTTGAGTCGACTCAAAAACAGAAAAAAACATAAAAAAAAAAGGTCGACTAAAAAACAGAGAAGTTCAAACAGGAAGAGTCACAGCGGTCTGAGGGAGGGCAAGGAGAAAGATTGTTTCAGAGGGAGCAGCCGCGCAGTGAAGGAACGGGGTGTGTTTTGAGATGTGTTGAACGAAAGGCACTCCACAAGGCGACCCAAACAAGACTTACGATGGTCCGAGGAAATGCGAGAAGCTCAAGGGCCTTGGGAAGGTCAACCGAGTCGGGATGGGTGCCCTGGGAAAAAGAGGAGGGGATAGGACAGGACAGGCAGGGAAGGCAGAGTGAGAGGCATGCTCATAAGAAGGTGCGTGGAATATTCTGGCATACTCTGACTGACAGGATGCTCTGGAGACTCCGGTCTTCTGTAAGTTCTTATTTTGTGAGAGGCTCTGGAGACGTGTTTTGAGTCGACTCAAAACACAGAGTGAGAGGCATGCTCATAAGAAGGTGCGTGGAATATTCTGGCATACTCTGACTGACAGGATGATGCTCTGGAGACTCCGGTCTTCTGTAACTTCTTATTTCGTGAGACCGGAGAGGCTCTGTAAGTTCTTGTTCCGACAGGATGCTCTGGAGAGTTTATTCTGTGAGAGGCTCTGGGAGCCTCTCACTCTGCTGTGTGGCGATTGTTGAGCATACGAGGGGGTTTTTGAGGCGCCTCAAAAACGACTCCTCCTGTGCGGCGATTGTTGAGCATACGAGGGAGTTTTTGAAGCGCCTCAAAAACGACTCCTCCTGTGTGGCGATTGTTCAGCATACGAGGGAGTTTTTGAAGCGCCTCAAAAACGACTCCTCCTGTGTGGCGATTGTTCAGCATACGAGGGAGTTTTTGAAGCGCCTCAAAAACGACTCCTCCTGTGTGGCGATTGTTCAGCATATGAGGGAGCAGGACAGGTAAGGAAAGGTTGGTTGGGTAGGCACTTACCGGGGGCAGGGAGGCTCGGTTGACTTTGGAGACCTTGCCGTATGACGACCGTTCAACATAGGGGGGAGGGACGGGTAGGGGAAGGCTCAGGAGGTGGTATCTGGGGAAGGTTGGTTGGGTAGGCTATTACTGGCGGCAAGGACGCTCTGTTGACTTTGGAGACCTTGCCGTATGACGATCGCTCGAAGTACGCACCATAGGGACCCACTTTGAGCCAGATCTATGTGCGATACCTGAAGCTTGGGTGGGTGATACCTGGTGTAGTAAGGTTCTTACCGGCGGCAGGGACGCTCGGTTGACTTTGGAGACTTTGCCGTACGACGATCGCTCGACGTACGCACCATAGGGACCCACTTTAAGCCAGATCTGTGCGGGTAGGACAGGACAGGAGGAGATGAAGAGCAGATGAAGGGGAGATGGAGGGGAGATGAAGGAGAGATGAAGAGGCGACATGAACAGCAAAGAGATCACAAAACCTAACCCTGTTTGCTGTTATTGCAAATCTGAATGGAGGGTATCTCACTCAATCGCTACTCATCTTGGCCCATGTGCTTGGGTCCCCCCTTACAATGTGTGTCACAGGGTCGATCGATCACCACAGCTAGGGTACGTACCATGTGTGTGTGAGAGAGCTATTTCACAAGTGGTGTGGGGATTCTCAACTCAAAACACTCGCCTTGGCCCCTGTGCTTGGGTCCGCCCCTCCCCTAGTATGTGCGCCACAGGCTGGTTTTTGAGAATTCTCAAAAACCAATTCTCAAAACTTCTCAAAAACCAGCTTGGGTCCGCCCCTAGTATGTGCGCCACAAGGCCGATTGCCATGCCACTGCTAGAGTTCTGCTAGTCCCACCCTTCCCATATATCCCATGTCCCAACAGCTCACCTTAGCCCCTGTGCTTGGATCCGCCCCTAGTTTGTGAGCCACAGGGCCGATTGCCATGCCACTGCTAAAGTGCAGTGCTGTTAGCCCCACTGCCCATGAAATCCCTCATTCCCATCTTCCTTCTCACCTCCCCCCACCAAGCACTCGTACTGGGGTCCTCCCCTATTATGTGTGCCACTGGGTCGATTGCCACAGCCATGATCCACCCACCCCCACTTCCCATTCCCTCCCTCCCCCCTCTTCCCTTCTCACCTTCGCCCCTGTGCTTGGGTCCTCCCCTATAATGTGTGCCACTGGGTCGATTGCCACAGCTAGGGTACCCGCCTTCCCCTCCTGCTCCACCACTCGGGCTTTAAAGCTGCAGCAGGCAGGGGGGTGAGCAATCAAAGGGAGCGAAAAGAGTGGTGAGTTGTCTTTGGAGTCGACTCAAAAGTCGATGCCAACGGCTAGAGTACCCGCCTTCCCCTCCTGCTCCACCACCCGTGCTTTAAAGCTGCAGGCAGGGGAGGGTAGGGAAGGGTGCGATCAAACAGAGTGGCGAGATATTCGCTTCACTCCACTCAATAGTCGATCGCCACGGCTAGAGTACCCGCTTTTCCCTCCTGCTCCACCACCCGTGCTTTAAAGCCGCAGACAGGGGAGGGTAGGGAAGGGTGCGATCAAACAGAGTGGCGAGATATTCGCTTCACTCCACTCAATAGTCGATCGCCACGGCTAGAGTACCCGCCTTTCCCTCCTGCTCCACCACCCGTGCTTTAAAGCTGCAGGCAGGGGAGGGTAGGGAAGGGTGCAATCAAACAGAGTGGCGAGATATTCGCTTCACTCCACTCAATAGTCGATCGCCACTGCTAGAGTATCCGCTTTTCCCTCCTGCTCCACCACCCGTGCTTTAAAGCCGCAGACAGGGGAGGGTAGGGAAGGGTGCGATCAAACAGAGTGGCGAGTGTTCGCTTCACTCCACTCAATAGTCGATTGCCACAGCCAGAGTTCCTGCCTTCCCCTCCTGCTCCACCACCCGGGCTTTAAAGCTTCAAGCGGGATAGAAGAAAGCGGAAAGAATGAGTGGCGCATTGCTGTATAGAGAAATGAAAGAGAAGAGAGCGCACGTGAGTTGCGCGCATAGATTAGGCGGGGGCATGGATCCGAGCAAAGCACATAGAAAACTCTTTTGAGGCGCCTCAAAATACACCTCACTGCACATAGATTAGGCGGGGGCATGGATCCGAGCAAAGCACATAGAAAACTCTTTTGAGGCGCCTCAAAATACACCTCACTGCACATAGATTAGGCGGGGGCATGGATCCGAGCAAAGCACATAGAGTGATAAGAGCAAAGCACATAGAAAACTCTTGACGTCTCAAAAGTGGTGTTGGTTTGTTGCTTGCTTGCTATATAGAGTGATAAGAACAGCGCAGGATGACTGAACTGAATCACAGAGCAGAGGAGATAGACCGAGTCATCAACAGGTTCCGCCATGTTGACTGAATGACGGACTGAATCAACAGCGCAGGATGACTGAATCACAGAGCAGAGCAGATGGACCTTCTGGCAGAGCAGAGGAGATAGACCGAATCACAAAGCGGAGATAGCTGACAAAGTGGTTCAGTACAGAAGAAGCGGCACCTTCGAGGATTTTCAAAGGTTTTTTTTTCTACACAGAGTTTGTGCATGAGAGCACAGCGAAAAAAAGAAGAGTTCCAAGTTTGGGACATCTCAAAACTCTACACAGAGTTTGTGCATGAGAGCACAATCCTCCACATGCCAGTCAGTGCCACTATCCTCCGCCTGTCAGTGCATGAGAGCACAGCGAAAAAGGCACTGACTGGCATGTGGGATAGGCGGAGCAGGCCACAAAGAGAAAAACGACTTTTGAGGCGCCTCAAGAGCAGCCCACAATGGAATAAAGTGAAACGAACAGGCGGAGGATAGTGGCACTGACTGGCATGTGGGATAGGCGGAGCAGCCCACAAAGAGACCCACTCCTCGGCTTGAGTTGTATTCCAGCTCTCCGCTGCCACAGCTGGAAAGGGGAGGGCGGTTGAGGGGGGTTTACAGGAGTGAGGTGGGGTGTGGGGGGTTGGGAGAACCAAGCCACGCCCCGGCTTGAGAAGTTGTATTCCAACTCTCCGCTGCCACAGCTGTGTGGTTTTGAAGCATGTGTATGGGGGGAAGGGATGGATGGGGAGTGAGGCATGGTGTAGGCACACGACAAAGAGGCCCTTCCCGGCTGGACTCGCCGCTGTCACAGCTGAAAGAAGGGGAGAGGGGGGAGTTGAGACGGGTGGGGTATTTTCAGAAGTTAGGTTGGGTGCGGAGGAGTTGGGAGCTCCACGCCATGCCCTCACTGGAAAAGCTGTGTTGCAACTAGTTTCTGCCACAGCTGGGGGAAGGCGCGCGAGAGAAAAAATAACAATACCATTCACTTGCCTGTTCCTGTTCCTAGCAAGGGTGCACATTCCTGGGGGTGGGTTTTGGGTGTAATGTTAGTGCACACCCTCTGGCGCTTGCTGATTCGAGGGCGAATTTTGCAGGGGGTGTAAGGCTGGTGCGAGGGATTGAAACAAGGCAGGCGATGCCTACCTATTTCGGTCGAGTTTTTGGCTGGGGGAAGGGCGGAAATCAATCGCGGAAGTGAGAAGCAAGCGGGCATGAAGTGAGTCGATCAACCAAGCGAGTGATAAACCAGCCAAGGCTTCAACACCAAAGCGTAGAAACATCACAACTCAAGTGATGGCAGCTAAGCAAGCACTTTCTAAGCGCCACAGCGACATCGCCCGCACGTAGGAGGTTCGTTCTTCCACGTGTACATGGTAGTGCCTTTCTTCGCACGTGAATGGCGTCATCGCCGCCTGCGCGTGACGTCGTCGCCTGCGCGGCGCGTCGTTTTCCTGTCCTCGCTGCCTCCTCGTCCTTTCGCCACGTCACATCCTCTACAGCCTCTCGCCTCCCCGCCTATCTCGCCTCCCCGCTGCTTCGTGTCCTGGCCGAACGACGCCTCGCCAGCTCGTCGGCGCGTCGTCGCCAGATCGTCGCTGACTCGCCGCCACGCCTCGATTGGTGCCTCATCTTCGCCGCCACATCGCCGCCCAGCCGCCTCTTCGCCGTCACACAGCCGCCCCGCTACCTCGCCTCCTCATCGCCTATACATTGCTGACCCGCTGCTAACTCTCCTCAAGATCTGCATTTAGCGAAATGCTTGCCGCCCTAGTGCTCCAGCGCCTAACTCCTTAGCTCGTCTGAAATCGCAAAACTTGCCGCCACCTGTTCCCGATCCCTACTCGCATGCCATCCGGAAAATACACCACCATGCCGTCGTGGCACGCAGATCTTCCACACCTTTCTCCATGAGCTTCCCAAGCTTAGGGGTTTCCGTAGAACTCTGTTGCCGTCCGTTTCCTCTGAACTAGTTCTACCGCGTGTCTAGTCCCTGCTATGGGCGTATCGTCCTTAGCCGCCCCACCTCCCACATCGATGTCTCGAGCTCCTCCTATGCACCCCTGCCTCACGCGTTCAGTTCCCCATGCGCCGCCCCTACCCTCCCCTGCCTCCTTCCCCCTCACCCCGCCCTCTCTCCCCTCCCCGCCTTCCCCTCTCCCCATGCCCGTGTTCGCCACGCTCCCGCAGGTCGCGTCGTGCCTCTTTCTCGTCCGGGCCGTGCACTACCCCGCGCCGCAGGTGCACTTTCCTGGGTCTCAGGTGTTCCATACACTGCACCAGGTGGTCAAAGCATGTGCATCAGGTGCTTTACCGTGTTCCCGAGGGGGACATGCGCCTAACACGTCCTCTCCTCTCTCATCCCGTCCTCCCCTCTCTCATCCCCCCCTCCGCTCTCTCATCCCCTCCTTCCCAATACTCAGCCCCTCCTCCCATCGCTCCTCCCCTCCTTCCTTCTCTCATCCCCTCCTTCCTTCTCTCATCCCCTCCTTCCTTCTCTCATCCCCTCCTTCCTTCTCTCATCGCTCCTCCCATCTCACCATCTCTCATCCCGTCCTCCACTCTCCCATTCCCACCCTCCTTCTCTCATCCCCGCCTACCCTCGATCCTCCACTCCGTCCTTCTCTCATCCCGTCCTTCCCTCTATCATCCCATCCCTCCTCTCATCCCCTCCTTCCCTCACTCATCCCCTCCTCCCATCGCTCCTCCCCACTTTCCATCTCACATACCCTCCCCCCTTTCCCCAGGTCGCTCCTCCCCTTTCCCCCAGGTCGCACCTCCCCTTCCCTCCTTCCTCCAGGTCGCTCCTCCCTTTTCCCCCAGGTAGCACCTCCCCTTCCCCCCAGGTCGCACCTCCCTTCCCCCTTTTCCCCAGGTCGCACCTCCCTTCCCCCTTTTCCCCAGGTAGCACCTCCCCTTCCCCCCAGGTCGCACCTCCCTTCCCCCTTTTCCCCAGGTCGCACCTCCCCTTCCCCTCTTTCCCCCAGGTCGATTTTCCCCTTTCCCCCAGGTCGCACCTCCTCTTTCCCCCAGGTCGCACTTCCCTCCCCCCTTTCCCCGAGGTCGCACCTCCCCTTCCTCCCTCAACGCTCCTCCCCTTTCCCCCAGGTCGCTCCTCCCCTTCCAACCAGCTCGCACCTCCCTGTTCCCCTTCACAGAGCACCTTCTCACTCTTTCACAATGCACTACCCCTCCCCTCCCTTTGCTTCCATTCCCCTCAAATCGCTTCTATGCCCCTCTTCTCCCTCCCCTTTCCTTCCCTTCTTATGTCTTCCCTGCACTTCCCTTTCCCTATTCTCCCTTCCCTTTCCTTCCCTTCTTTTGTCCTCCCTGCACTTCCTCCCTGCACTTCCTCCCTGCACTTCCCTTCCCCTCTTCTCCCTTCCCTTTCCTTCCCTTCATTTGTCCTCCCTGCACTTCCCTTCCCCTCTTCTTTTTTCTCCCTTCCTCCCCTTTTTTCACCATGCCTCCCCTTTTTTCTCCCTGCCTCCCTTTTTTTCTCCGTGCCCCCCTTTTTTAACCCTGCATGTCCATGTGAATGTGCTACCTCCTCTAGTCTCTTGCTATGTGCAGGGCAAAGCCGTGTCTTCACAAGTTTGGTGGCGCAGGGTGCAGCAGCGACGCAAGAGCACACATGAGGCACTAAGAGGAGTGGTGGCATACTGTTTTGTACATCGAGATATTTGTAAAACATTACTAGTACGGGAGTTTTGTACTTTTCATAGGGTAAAGAGTTGTTGAAAATACCCGAAAACTTGCACAAAACCACAAACATCACCAATGCCATCTTTTTTGGCTATACTGATTCCTAGTGTGGATGTATTTTCTGTTGTGAATAACTTCATTCGACGATTCTCGACATGGAGAGGGTCCACACTATCCTAGGTTCAACAAATTGTCATCTTGGGTGCTTCATGCTCGACGACCTGCACCACTGAAGGGAGAGGGAAGGTGTGAATGAGCAGACAGGGGAGCATAAACAGATTGTAAGATAAAGAGTGGCATAGAGACAAGGACGGTGAGAGAAAGAGCATGGGGAAAAGAAATGAGTGAGCAGGGGGGAACAAAGGGTAAGCAGGGGAAAAGAAAGAGAGAGAAGGGGAAGGAATGGTAAGCCGGGGGAAAAGAAAGAGTGAGCAGGGAGGGGAGAAATGACAGGGCGGGGGGGGGGGGGGGGGGGGGGAGAGGAGAAATGACAAGGAGGGGTGAGATGTCAGGGTGGGGAGAAATGACAGGGAGGGGAGAAATGGCTGACAGTGAGGGAAGAACTGACAGGGCGGGGAGACAGGGGGGATAGGACAGGGCGCAGACCAACGTGAGGTGACCCAGTCAAGAGCGCGGTCACCTCAGCTGGTCAAGAGAGGGAAAGAAGGGTGGGGGAGAGGGGCAGCTTGAGAAGGGTGGGGGAGAGGGGTAGGGAGAGAAGGGTGGGGGAAAGGGGTGGAGGGGAAGGTGGGGTAGAGAGGTGAGGGAGCAGAGTAGGGGAGACGGGTGGGGGGAAAGATGGAGTGCCTCGGGAGAGGGGTCCAGGAGAGGCGTATGGGAGAGGGGTTGGGGAGAGAAGGGTGGGGAGAGGGGTAACAGAAAACGGAGTAGGAAAACCAAACTTTTTGTTTCGTAGACCTCACCTTCCCCCTTTCCCCCTCCTCCCACTTCCCCTCCTCCCCATTTCCCCGTTCTCCCACTTCCCCTCCTCCCCATTTCCCCCTTCACCCACTTCCCCTCCTCCCCTTCCCCTCTCACCCGCCTTCTCCCCCTTCTCCCCCCCTCCACCTCACTCACCCGCAGGCGCGGCCACTCGCGCATGGCCTGCGCCAGCTTGCGCAGCACCATGCGGTCTGCCGGCATACGGTCCTAACACACCTGGGGGGAGGGGAGGAAGGAGAGGGGCGGAAAGGGCACGGTGAGAGGGAAAAAAGAGAAATGTTCTGAGTTGTCTCAAAATAAGCAAGGAGCCAGCGACTCATAGTGAGTTGGCAGGTGACATCATCGGGACAGCTTCTTGGAGGGGGGCTGGCGGAAGCTTGTCACAAAAAATCACAACCTGACCGAGGCCGCATAGGATGCAAGGGCAGGGAGAATGGGAAGGAAGGGGAGGTCGGTGCTAGAGGGGGAAAGCGGAAAGATAGGGAAGGTTGGGGATAGATGGTGAGGGGAGAGGGCGGAGTATGATATAAAGGGGAAGGGGAGTTAGGCAGAGACGGGAGAAAGGGAGAGAGAGGGATATGGCCAGAGTGGCGAGAGAGGGGAGTCAGGCAGCGTGCTGAATCTAGGAGAGAGGGGAAAGAGGGGAGAAAAGCGAGATGAGAGAATAGAGAGAGCAGAGCAGGCAGGGTGTGGAATACGTGCGAGAGGTGAGAAAGGGACAAGGGAGAAGGGCTGATGGGGGGCACGGGAAAATGCTTTGAGGAACGCAGAGAGGGGAGTACGGCCGAGCGAACAGTAAGAAAGAATGGGGGAAGGGATGGGATGCTGTGGCGTGTGGAGAAATGTACATATATGAAAGAGATCAAAGATGCGAAGTTATATCAGAGTGTGGCGAGAGGGAATATGACAGGGCAGAGAGTGGGGATATGACAGGGCAGAGAGTGGGGATATGACAGGGCAGAGAGTGGGGATATGACAGGGCAGAGAGTGAGGATATGACAGGGCAGAGAGGGGAGACGGGAGGGGAGGGGAGATATGACGATTGATTATGCGTGGGGGTCGCTCGGAGTTATGTTGCGTAGGTTCCGCGCCAGGTAAGACAGGGAATGAGACTCGTGGCGCGACGGAAGGCATCTGCGCATAATTGCTAGGAAATAAAATGCTTCTCACCGCGACTTGGCGGCGCGGTCGTCTCGCCGCGTGCCTCTGAATATCGCGATTGGAGTGCTGGGTCACGGAGCTCTGCGCGCTCGATCGCGGCGTTGTGCGAACGCCCACCGCGTATCGTGCGGCAGCGGACGCGACGTCGTGCGGGCGCGGGAGCTGGCGATGTGCAGGCGCGGAAGCTGTGTTGTGATAGCCTGTGGGTTGCGATGCGAATGCAATCTAGACTGTTGTCCGTACATCGAGGTGATACGGAACAGGGGAGGTAGATGCGCAGCGACGGGGAAGGCGCTGTGACATCGAGGGGAGAGGCACCGCGACGGTGAGGAGAGAGGCACGGCGACGTGACAGGAGGCGATGCGACGGCGAGTGGTGTCTACGCATCCGACGGTGAGGAGAAAGGGGCGGCGAGGGCGACGGGAGTAGCGCTAAGACCGCTCAGACGCGTTGCTCACTGAGGGGCGTATGCGCTGTCCCAACGTAGGGCATGCGCTGTTTCGAGTGGCGGGAGATGCACTGGTGGTGTGTGGGGCGGGATCCTGTCAGAGCGAGTATAAGCGCAGAGAGATGGCTTCTTCCGTCCGCGTGATATAACAATATGTTTACTGATAACAATAGGTTTTAGTCTGTTTAGACGATTAGGATATCCCAGCTCTAACTATGGATCTCTCTTGCCAAGGCTAATGCGCGCTGATGGCCCAACTCTAACCAGTGTGAGAGTACTTTGCTGGTTGATCGTAGTCGAGTGAGTTGCTTGCTGGGTTTTGGTACACAAACTCCAGTGCGGTCCCTCCAAGTTCCCAACCCTGCTTTCTTCGCGCAGCACTAACAGGGGGAACACCTCGTCAATCTCCGCAGGGGTTGGCGCAAAAAATTGTCGCCTCCAACGCCCAACCACAAACCCGGTAACCAGGTGGAGGCAAGTGATAAACCTTTGCCTCCACCCCCCCCGAAGTGCACCCTTGCTTTAACAAAGAGGACATGTTCTTCTACACAGAGGAAAGGGAGGTGGCACAAGTGTGGGCACTAGAACGAGCTAAGTCTGGAGATCTGGGTCGAATCTAGTATTGTCGCAGACAAGAGGAAAGGGAGGTAGCATTAGTGTAGGGTGGAGAGGCTGGCTGGCAAAGAGGGGAGCAGCATCGATGAGCATGGATACCAGTGTGTGTTACATTGTAAGAAGTGAGTTTTTGAGACGTCTCAAAAACTCACTTTATACACATGGATACCAACCAGTGTGTGTTACACTGTTTTGGGTTTCTTTTACACCTCTGCTTTTTACGCTGATTCAAATTGTCATTTCAAAGACTTCGAACCTTGGGCATGTCTTGGAGTGTGAGGCTGTTGACAACGACGATGCTGGTGATGATGGTGACGATACATGCGTTTCAGCAAGGGCTGATGGCTCTGACGAAGGGGAGACTAAGGAGGCAGAGGAGGCAGAGGAGGAGGAGGAGGCAGAAAGAGCAGGAGCGCGGGCTTTGGCCAGTACTTCAGAGTACGTCTCTGCTGCCTCCACCAGCAGCCCATCGCCTAGTGTGACTTGCACTGCTGACCCAACCTGCAGGGATGAAATACACAGAGGACAGCACACAGGAGCGCGGGCTTTGGCCAGTACTTCAGAGTACGTCTCTGCTGCCTCCACCAGCAGCCCATCGCCTAGTGTGACTTGCACTGCTGACCCAACCTGCAGGGATGAAATACACAGAGGACAGCACACAGGAGCGCGGGCTTTGGCCAGTACTTCAGAGTACGTCTCTGCTGCCTCCACCAGCAGCCCATCGCCTAGTGTGACTTGCACTGCTGACCCAACCTGCAGGGATGAAATACACAGAGGACAGCACACAGGAGCGCGGGCTTTGGCCAGTACTTCAGAGTACGTCTCTGCTGCCTCCACCAGCAGCCCATCGCCTAGTGTGACTTGCACTGCTGACCCAACCTGCAGGGATGAAATACACAGAGGACAGCACACAGGAGCGCGGGCTTTGGCCAGTACTTCAGAGTACGTCTCTGCTGCCTCCACCAGCAGCCCATCACCCAGGGTCACCTGCACTGCCGACCCCACCTGTAAGGGCAGACACGGGCAGGAAGAGAGCACGTAAACAAGGAAGTGTTCAGCAATCGCTTTGGCCAGTACTTCTGAGTAGGTCTGTCCTGCTTCCACCAGCAGCCCATCACCCAGAGTCACCTGCACTGCCGACCCCACCTGTAAGGGCAGAGGCGGTACAGAGGGTAAGGCATGGGGGGGTAGGCTTTGAGACAGGCACTTGGGAGCACTTGGGAGGAGTAGGACTATGCTGCTTCCACCAGCAGCCCACGCATCTGCCAGATGGGTGACTTGTACCGCGGAACGAGTGTTTTTTTGAGAATTCTCAAAAAACACTCTATGCTGCTTCCACCAGCAGCCCACCCATCTGCCAGATGGGTGACTTGTACCGCGGAACCGACCTGCCAAAGGAGTTACATGGTACGGAAGGAAGGGAGTAAGCTGTTCAGCAAAGGTTTTTTAGGTGCCTCAAAGTCTACCTGATAAAAGGGGGCTTTTGAGACGTCTCAAACACTCGCTTTTATCACTTGTCGACCTGCCAAAGGAGTTACAAGGTCCGGAAGAAAGGGAGTAAGCTGCTCAACAAAGCATTTGCCATGTAGTGAGTCTGTTTTTGAGTCGACTCAAAAATAGACTCACTACACAGGGAGTAAGCTGTTCAGCAAAGCACTTGCCACGTACCTACTCCTCACCCCCCGCATCAAGTGGTCCTTCGTTGAGTGTGCGAGTCTGTTTTTGAGTCGACCCAAAAAAGTGGGCACATCACACGATCACACTGCTTGAACACG